CAATCACTAGCTCTCTCTCTCTCTCTCTCTCTCTCTCTCTCTCCCTTTTGCTGTATATTATATTCACACAAATTGACAGAAAGTTTTTCATACAAAACGAGTGGAAATAAAAGTTTTTGTCATAAAATTTTTGCAAAATTAAATGCTTTTCGAGTGAATTATTGTTTGCCTTTCAGTCTTATCGGAGCCTCTATTATACGCGAAACAACATTTTCCCATAGAGTTTGAGCCAAAAAAACACATAACAAAACAATACGGTCTCACGATTTGAATCTAACATAACTTATATTAAGATATACTGTATTTCACAATGAATTTTGTCGCACAGAATAATAATCATGTGTTGAATGAATGCCAAAAAGGTGTAGTAAAAAATAGAAAAATTCATTAATGTAAAATTGTTTTATTATAGTTTTTTATTACACATTTTGCAATACTTATGTCCCCTAAAAGTATAGCCACTTGAATGGAAAGTATAAGCTATTTGTCTAAACTCTTCAGCAATAATAACCCAATGATATCATAGACTTCTTGGCCGATGGCAGCGAAGTCTGTGTCAATAATCACGTATTTTATCGCCAAATATTTGTCGTCAATATTTATATTGCAATCGTATCGCAAATTTGTGTGACTTTCAAACCTAATGAAATATTTCGCAGGTATTCACAGGTATTTTTGCATAACTATTAACACTAAAAACAAAATTAAAATACAAAAAAAAGTTGTGATATTTTTTTTATTGTTGAAGCATTTCTTGGAAGATAATAGCAGTTAATTATCTAACCATCAAATTATTTGCGAAAAATTATTTATTTTTACGCTTAAAACCCATTATAAAAGGGTTACATATTTCGCACCATTACATAAATCTACGCTCACGTCTCTAGCAGTAAACAAAAATATATTAATTAATTAAATATTTGTAAGTTTAGTTAAAATATGTCTAATTGTTATTTTGATTATCCATTCAATGATAAACAAGACTAAACACATGTTAACTGTTGAAGCGATCTAACGCTATATTTAAATAGTTTTTGCAATCATTTTATTCAAATTTTGTGCCTAATCTTCAGAGAAAATCTTTTTCCCATTAAAAAGCACTAAAAATAATGTTATTATTTATTACGAAACAACGGCTCATAAATTCATATGTAATGAAAAATAATTACAACTCCTTTGGAGATGTTTTTATGAATAAATTGTTTAGATTTTTCAATTTTGCAAAACAAACTTTTAAAACTTACAAACACTTCATACTAGTTATGAAAAACTTCTTACAAACAAAAACTATATGTAAATGAAGTGCGAATTACACCCATAGGCGCACCGGTAGTCAACACTTTCAACACGTATATCCATATATGACTAAATCCTTGCGAAACATCTCTTCAATGAAGACAAGCGTTAACTAAATTAAGGAAATGTGAAAATTAATTGGTTTTAATCGTATTTCACGGCTCATATGGTTTTCAAACTCTCTCTCTCTCTCTCTCTCTCTCTCTCTCTCACTCTCTCTCTCTCTCTCTC